TCACTGGTATAATCACAGAACTTCAATATCAAGCTACTCGATTTTCAGGTACCAAACTTCCAAGCACAAAATTGGAGGGTACTATTCTGAAATAGGCAGTGTCAATAGGCAGATTTATTTCTTGCAGGGACTGAATGAAAATTATTTCACCTATGAACTACTTGGTATCTTCCTTTTAACTGGGCAATGTAAAGGACATTAAACTCCATCCAGAACAATGGCATTATAATGGGGTATGATTCTACTCTCAGTCAGGCAGATGAAAACTAGGGGGAAAACAACTAAAGTCAGTGAGGCTACAATGACGTACAAGATGATATAAAAAAGGGTACAAAATAGAACTGGGCTCCAAACATCCAGATTTCTAAGCTGGAATAGGAATCTGTGACCACTTCTTATATGCAAGAGTGTTTCCTAACGTACTGACCTATGGTTACCAGCTGAGAATAGCAAACATATCAGAAGTCAACACAATTTTCCTGAGCATACAGGTTTCCCTCGTTTTATGCTGTGCATGCATTCCTGGAAAATGGCACATAACTCGAATTTGCATAAAGGGAACCCACTTTACAATATAACAAATAGGGATACATTCCAAGACCTTGACTGTACTGACCCCCAGACCCGTTTCTACCACTTTTACAGGACAATTTTGGTACTCACCAATAGCAGACAGTACACACAAGCACAGGGTGGTGGTGAATGTTACTATAATGGGGAGGGCAACTACAGAAACATGTCTCACAGATAACGAGCAAGAAGCACAGATCCACGCAGGAGACTATATTTTGGTGTGTGTCACTCCCACAATGCACCACACAAAGCAGCTGACTGTAGGCTTCAACCGCACCATTCGCATAAGAGTGAATTTACCTCGCGTATAACGAATTTTGGTATAAAAAGGGCCATTGCATAAGAGCGAATTTGCATACGGAACCCACAAAGTGAGGGAAACCTGTATTCTGTTCCTATACAGAATTAATGAAATGGCAATGGGTCTTTTGGAGAGCTATCACTGAACACGGTAGCCCAAGAATCAGAAGCTTGTCTAGAGTTCACCAATATCAACAGAAAGACACTCACTGATCTTAGCATGTTTTATATGAACTTCTCATTTTATCATTGAATAAGTGGAGCTACCTACCCCATCCCTCAAATTAAAAGAGAGGCCGTAAAAAATAAGTTGAGCAAAAAAACCAAAAAACAAAGGTGAAAATGTACTTTGCAGTATCATTGTCAGATTGATTTATGGCCATTTCAAAACTTTAAATTTGCAAAAAACAGGGTTTAACCAACACTTTAATCATTATTAACTCTATTATTTACTAGCATTTTTAAAGTATTTTGTTTCAAGACTAACATACCTTTGCAACATTTTTCATTTAAGTAATTGTGGCACCCACTGGCACATATGAGAGCCAGAAAGTGAACTGACTTGATACTGATTGGAAACAAAGTGAAACTGATCAGTTGGTTTTCATCTTCATTTTGGGTGAGGTATAAAGAAGGAAACAGACAAACCATATGACTTTAGGAATGAAAATGAATGGGATTATTTTTGTAAAGATACTTTCCATTTTAAGACTCTCATTGCCCTATTAACAATGCAGGAATGGACACTTTAAATAACTTGGAGCCAGTTTACAGCTGTGTTATTCCAGTTTACACAGATGTAACTCCATTGAAACCAAATCAGTGGGACTTTCACCTGCATAAAAATAGAGCAACTAAATCAGGCCCAACATTTTTAGCCTGAGAGCACAGCATCCGTTTAACATCTCTAAAGCGATGGTAAAACATGAGGCTTGAGACCAAACAGAAAAAAGTTACCATCAAGCATTGCAGAAGCAACGCATGACAAACTTGGGTTGACAATAAACACTGCCTGAGGCTCGTGTTTATTGGTGCTCCAAAAATGTAAATGTAGTCAAGATAAAAAATGTGGTATCTGCCCATGGAACTACTCCAGATTTACAAATGTGTCATTTATATCTTCACTCCAGATTTACACCAGTGTGATATAGGGACTAATCTTAAAAGCCATTGAAATCAGTACAAAGACTCACTAACTTCAAAGGGGTTTGAATCAAGCCCTTCCAGCAGAATTTGGCTCAGTGACATTACACAATTCCCTACTTATTTTACAATAGTGGCTTTCTGAAAGCAAATCTGTTCATTCTAGGAGTCAAAGCTGAACCTATTTGCTAGCCATTCAAGCTCAAAATACCCCTCCTCTTCACATCAAGCTGTATTCTTTTGACTTCATACCTCATCACCAACAGCTTCTGGACTTAGCAGTTAGGAGGTAATTTTGGTGATCCATGACAAAAGTATACAGCAGCTTTTCTTTTATCTTCCAGCTTTGAAGTGCTACTAAAATTCTTATTTTGTCAGTAAACTTAACGCATACAACCAAGAAGAAACATCAACAATTGGGAAATTAGGGGTGTAACAAGATGCCATTTTTATGGCATTATTTTTTTAGCCTGTAACAATGCTATAAAAATGAAGTGAAAAGCTTTTATAAATGAACTACAAAAGTACAAACAAGCAACCAAGCAAAATGCATGGCTCAAGAGACTAAGAACTAAATTCTGTCATCAATTATGCATGTACAACTGCCAAGGGAAGTCAATGGTTCATGCATATAAATAACCAAAGGCAGAATTTGGCTATAAATCAGTAACAGACCAAAGAACTTCAGGACAGAAGAACTGCTATACCAGAGCACATAAGTGATCTACTTAAACATTTACCATAGGGCCAGTACCAGATGCTTCAGAAAAAAAGGTACAAAAACAATGTATTAGACAACAATTAAGCAGCATGTCTTTCAGGGAAGATTTTCCCTGAACCCTATCTTTTCTTGGTTGGTTTATGCTAGAAGCTTAAGGATTTTATAAGCCCCACACTTCTTTTTTTTCCTAATTCTGTCTCAGGCAAGTAAATATTTTCCATACAAAAGCTTTACTCTTTCTTTAATTATTTTCCTAAATGTTTTTCCTCAATGGCTCGTGGCAATAAGTTCTGTGGGTTGTTTATTTAGTAGTATTGGACTGATATAGCCAGTATGGTCCAGGAAATATGCAAGAGGCAAGGAGTTCTGCAGGTGATATCTTTTTTTGGACCAACAACATGGCTGGAACATTACTTAGATAAGATTGTAAATGTGAAAAACTAAAACTAATGGATTGCATCCAAAAGCTTGTTAAAGTCTACCCCAGAGAAAGAGACAGCCTGTCCCAACCAGGCAGTTGGTCCAATAAAAGGTATCACCTACAAAACCCTTGCTTTTCATAGGTTAATAATGCAGTTTTAAAAAAAATATTTCCATTTGTTGTTTTTCGGTTTTTCTGACTATCAACTTGTCCTTTTATTATAAGGAAGAATAAATAGGACCTCCTGGCTCATCTCCTTTATAGCACTATCATCCTATCTCCTCTTTTAAGGATCTAATTCTCCTACTGTCACTGGCCGTGTGTAGCTGAAACGAGAGGCATGTTTGCATGACACTTTAAAGTGGGCTAAATGATTTTGAACCGCTTTAATGGTGTCGGTGTTTCCATGCCTCAGCAGCATATTGCGCGTTAATTCCAGCTGCTGTAGGAAATTCGGTGATGTAATGCGCTTTAAATTACTTGGGGCACAACAAACTAAAACTCTTTTGACAAGTTTTAGTTTGCTGCCCCTACAGCCGAGGAGCGAAGCACTGGGCTCCATGCAGCTTCACAGCTCTGCAGGCAGCCCGCAAGCAGCCTGGGAAAGCAGCTCCGCCCAGGAATGGCAGCTTCCCCTCCCCTCCTCACCGAAGAGGCAGGTAAGTCAGTGGGGTGTGTGCATGACACGGGGATTTAATCAGCCCTAAATTGAAGTGGTGTTTTTTAAAACCTACCGCTTCAATTTAGGGCCCCCGTTTTGTCTACACATGCCCACTCATACTAAGGAGAGAACCAGCCTGCAAGTGATTCCACTCAAGTGAAAGCTATTTCTGAGTCAGACACAATTCAGTGTGCATTTCTTCAGCCTAAGACACCAGGGGTAGGACAGAGATTGAAAGCCATCTCTGTAGTCTCACTTCCCAAAGACCTCTGACATAAGAGATGTGACTGAAGGTTTTCTGTATTCCACCAAGCCCCTTTGGTATAATGATCCTTTGTGGACCATCAGCAACTGGCATAACTGAGAGCAATCCAAAGGTTTCTAAGTTGCGCTGGGACCCAAGCTGGTTTTAGGATCAGGAGAGCACAAAGGTGGCATGCAGCTGATTTTGCCCCTCCCGTTCAAGTGCTGTGCGAGTTGTGGCTGAGTTAAACTCAAAACTGGGGACAAATTTTATTACATGTTTAAGTATTTGGATTTAAATTTGATTTATTTTTAAACCTATTATGATCTTCTTTATATGTGGCTTAAAAAGAGCATGAAGGAGGCAAAAAGCACATATATTTGTACATATGAGTGAGTATAGTAGAAAACCACTGATGATGTGCAAGATCCAAGCCACAGTGCTACAATCTCATCTCGTTACTAGTGTTTCGAGTTTCTAGTAAAAACATCTGATTTCTTCTTCTTAATAACTCTGAATCATAAAAATAAGAGCTAGAAAAAGGCCTATTTTGTCACGTAATCCAGTGGTGCTCAACCTCTGCCTTATGAGCCAGGTCCAGCCTGCAGAACCATGTCATCCAGCTCATGGACTTCTGCACAGGTTCAGAAATTTGGCAGCAAAGAAGCAGCCACAATTAACATTGCCACCACTCCCTTTTCACCAAATTTACAAGCCCTGCAAACTATATAACATGGTCCTGCATGTGGGGCTGGCAATGGGGCCAAATGTGGCACATGGGACTAGGGCCCAGCCATGTTGGCCCCATGTACCAGATCAGGCCCCTGAGTCAGGTTAATGAGTCAAGCTAT